CCGTTAGTCTTATGAAGGAAGAAATGTCGTGCAGCGCCCAAATCAAGGGATCTAAGGCGAGACAGAAAAGGACAACAGAAGTCGCCCTTCCCATAGCAAGGCCTTGATGGATGGAGATAGGCTCGAGTAAGAAACCTTGCACTTTATGCTGGGTGCGCCTCCCAAACATAAGGTGGATAACGTAGGCTTTGATCCAGGCAGGGGCAGCTCTTGCCGCTAAGCACTGTAGTACCCACCAGGGATTCACCCGTTCAAATGCCTTGGCAAAGTCGGAAAGCATGACTGTGTACTGGGCATCCTTGAGCTCCAAGTAGTGTTGCATTTGGGCATAATTTGCCTGTGGTTCTTTGAAGTGATTAAGAAGAGCCTGGGCAGGATGTAGCGAGTCTTTGAAAGACTCAGCGAGGACAGCGTAGATTGCGGAGTCAATGATTCGATCACAAGTATCGGGCATGTCTAGTGGCCTGTAGTTGTCCGCGTACGCACCCTTGTCAGCCTTGGGAATGAAGACTAAGGCCTGAAGCGGATGATCAGCTTGAGACAAGCACATCTCCCACATATGATCCCCAAGTAAGTTGGCAAAGTAACTCGGATTTTGCCTATAAAAGGCATAGGGCACACCATCGGGACCCGGGGAAGAATCCTTGGTGGTAATAATGGCCTTGAAGATGATGCTTTCATCTGGTAAGTCAGCCGGCACGAAGGGGGCCCTTTGCGCATATGGCTGTAGGAGTTTGTCCCACTGGTTATCGTATTGACAAGGGAAGTGGTGCCAAAAGGCTCTTGTTGCCCTTAGTGCAGCATCAAACTGACTCATAGATGTGATCAGCTGGCCATTTTCGCTTCTGACCTGTTGCGAATCGATGATTCGAGGGCAGATCTTCCTGAAGGCCTGCCACTTAATTTTAGACTTATTAACCTGCAAATCTCTTTGAGCAACCAAGGAACGAAGACTTGGTGAGGGGGCAATTTTCAGCTCTGCACCAAGGTGTAGCCGATTAAGCGCTTCTTGGATCCAATGTCTCGGGAGCTCGGCTGAACCATTACCTGACGGCGTGAAAGGGGGTATGGTGATATGCCTGGCTAAAGATGTGACGGTGCTTGCGTTGACACCGACAGTCGCACCAGTGCTCCTGTCCAAGAGGCGTACCAACTTCCTAATTAATGCAACAATTGAGTTTCCAGCTTGGGCACGTAGGTTTGCATGCCACAAGAAACATGTGGCTTTTTGTGCGACTAGCGCGTCTGAAGGGCAGAGTTTTTGACCTTTGTTCTGCTCTTCAATCAAGCGGGCTTTAGTGCAATTGATTAGTTTACGAAGAAGAAGGTGCGAAGGGCTAGTCTCCGCAGCCTCGATGCCAGGCAAGTCAGTAGTCGCAGGTGGAACAGAAAAAGCTGCAGCAGGAACTGTCCGAACAGGTATCGCCGGGACATCTTTGTCAAGCTTATGCTTCGGCCGAAACCGAATTTTTACCAAGTGATGTCCTCCAGTTACTTTTTTGTGCTTCCATGAGACAGAACAGATCTTGGCGGACAAGTACAGCGAGCTGGAAATAAGGTAATGGTCAAGGTGGCTGCAGGTAGAGCCTTGTTCGAAAGTTGGCCCTTCAGACTTGCATTCAATCATGTCGCCTTGAGCAAGGAGATGTGCATACTCACCCTCCTTCTGCTGATTGACCGCATTGAAGTCCCCCCCAAGGACAACCACATGAGTTGCATCCTTGACAAAAGCACTAAGTGCAGGGAAAAGCTTCCCCCATTGATCAGGGTGCCAATAAACCGACAGGAGCCAGTAGCAGACAGACCGAAATCTGACCAGCACGGCAAGGGCAAAACCAGGCACAAGGTCGACAGTTTCTACTACTTTATAGTCCTGTGGCAAACAGACAGCGACTCCTCCAGAGTGTCCAGATTCCTTCCAAATAGCGAGAGAGGCAATCGTATTTATTCTGGCAGTTGCCTGTCTGAATCGGTGTAAGCAGGCAGCATTCCATTTGGTTTCCTGCAAGAGCACTGGCGTTTGGTGAGCCAACGCACCAATGGTACGAAGCTTGGCAAGACCAATAGTGTCAAAGGTACACAGCGAGGTAACGTTCCAACTAACGACCGCCTGCAGCTTGCACGGCTCCTTAGGGATCGTGTCGAAGTAAGGAACAAGCCTGTCAGCTATGAGATTCAGTGCAAGTTCAAGCTCTTCTGTTGGGAGCTGAAGGTTGATAGCAGCGATTAGGTTAAAAGGTCGGCTGTCATTGGCCATGAGAGCAAGCTTTAGCTCACGTGTTGTGGGATAGGTGAGTGGAAGGTTGTAGGCAAGGAGAATGCTGTTGAGGGATCTGACACGTGCGCGATGTCTACGACAAGCAACATAAGCATTGAGGTGATCAAGGAAGGTCGTAGACCTTGCCTTGATCACCACGTTACGGATCGTCGTCATAGGGGCAGAGGGTCCCGATGGACCCCATAGAAGCAATGGTAGACAGCAGGTTGCCGATCGTAGACATAAATGCGCAATGCCTTTTCTTGGGTGGGAATTGTGGAGGGGATGCTGTTGTGGGTGACAGTCTGTTGATGCACCGTACCTTGCCTATATGTGGTGTAATGTGCACCTCGTGCATCAATACCAATATACACAGCTTGTCGACACGGTAGAGCAAGTTTAGCAAAGCAAGAGAAGTCGCGCAAGACCTCGCCAAGCCAGGTTTCATTAGAATTGCAATCTGAAGCAAAGACTTTACTGGTATGATTCTCAGTAAAGTATGGGGTTAAGAAGAGCGCAAAGAGTTCCCTTTGCTCAAGGTAAGGGGAACAAAGGATAGTATGGCCGTGCAGGTGTAAGGCAGCTTCATTACCCTCAAATATCAGACAAGGCGTTGGTAGCTGGCTGTTCTCTTGGATTACTTTGTGAAGGAAGGTGCCAGGGCTGGCTCCTCTTCGTTCAATGTCAACGACCTCAAAGATTGATGCTTGGGTAAGCGCATGCACAGTATCACGAGCCTGGGAGGCATTGAGCATTGCTAAGGCACAGTGATCATCTTGTTCGACATATAGGAAGAAGTCGACTGGTGGAGACTTCTTGCCAGCGTTAGCATCTTTCAAGTGCTGCACATGGAGGGTATTTTGCTGTCCCTTTACAAGGAGGAATTGAGGGATGAACTCGTCTCTATGCGCGACAAACTCAAGGTGCAACGCTTTGAGAAAGCTGATCAAGCACCACCCTTGTGCAGGGACGTCAAGAAAGTGTAAGGCAAACTTGGCACCGAGATTCGCAGCAGTCTCTCTGCACAAATTAGCCATGACATTGCGTCTCGATCCACACAAAAGCTTTAATTGAGGGTCAACAATTTGCAAGACACGCTGGATGGCCGATGGGATTCCTTTTTCTTGCAGTAAGTCTTGCGTTTGATGGAATCGAGTTTCCGTCACAAAGGAAATTCCTCTAGGGATGCCGGACGCGCTCTCTCTAATGCCTTGGAATTTACCTTGGCCGAAGGTGTACTCCAGAACAACAGGTTTATTGGTAATCGTGCTGTAAGTACAAACCTTTATTTTCCGGAGAAAAATTTTCGAATTCTACGAATGAGAAAGTTTTTCGGCTCAGACGAAGAGAGGCCACAGCCCTCTCAGCCACAACCCTCGTGGAGAGGGTCCGGGAAAATTTTTCCGTAGCCATTTTGGCTCAAGAAAGTTTTTCGGCTCAGACGAAGAGAGGCCACAGCCCTCTCAGCCACAACCCTCGTGGAGAGGGTCCGGGAAAATTTTTCTGCCTTCAGCCAAGTGTGCTGGGGGATTAGCGTCCTGCGGCCTGGTGGGGGGAGCGGGAGCCTCACAGAAGGTCGATGGCGCTTGGAGCTTACACTTTACGCTTGGTTTTGAAAGCCGATTGCCATGGTGCTCTTGAGTTTGCTTGGGGCATGTGTGCGTTTTTGCAGTTTTCTGGCGGCATGTGTGCGTTTTTGCAGTCTGAGCCAGGACGCAATTTAAGGATTCTTTTCTCCAGGTCTATCCTGGAGACTTTGTGCGTGTGTTGGTTGCTGTGCATTGCTGTCGCTCGAAGTTTGCTGGAGTGCAGGTAGATTCCTGGAGACGAGCTGGTGTCTTAGGTTTCAGAACTTGCCGCAGCTGGTAGCTGTTCTCGTCGACTGCGAGAGTTGTACATGTCAGGTCAAGATATTTTATCTTGCAGGGAACCAAGTTTAGAAGCTTTGGCCTGGGTGTAGAAGCAACCTTGTCTATACGTTTCTCCTGCAGCAGAATCAGGAATCAGCTTGCGCAGTTCACGCCCCGTCCAGGCATCTTGATGTGGGGACCCGGAGTGCCCTCCTCGTTAGCCGACGGCCAAGCAAAAGGTTCAGCAGCGTGTCCGTCCTGCCCTGACAACAGGTCCTAGACGCTAAGGCACGGAAGGTATGAGCAATCAGTGCTTGCATTTGCACTGTCTCTGGAGTCTGCTGCGTGGTTTGTGTTTTTGAAGCATGTTAGTTTGCGTTGGACCTTTGCAGACAGAACCACATTGTCAAGTGAACATTGCTGCACTTCAGGTGTTGTCCTTCGAAGTGAAAAGTCTCCGGGGAGAATTACAATGCATGGGCAGTTCCAAGAATGCTGCAAGGGCAGCTCAAGAGAGATCAAGCTGCTAAGGCAGTCGTGGTCAAAGATCGGCTGAAGGGTCAGCTCGTTGAGATTTGTTGCAAGGGCAACTCAAATAGTTTTGCTGCAAGGGCAGCTGAAGATGGCAAGGGCCAATATTCAATGCACACAATGAGTGTGCTTTATACATCGCTGCAAGGGCAGCCCATTCTTTCAGGCCGTGACGACAGCCAAATCCGGCAAGGGCCGGCAAGAGGTGCAAGGGCACCGATCAGTCGTCTAGTAGAGACGAGAGGTTCTCTCGAGAGCTGAATTTCTCTCGGCTCAAAAAAAAAATAGAGAGACAAAAAGGGTAGCAAAGGCTCTGAGAGGAAACAAAAGCCAGGGGGCAAAGAAAAGAGGCGTAAGCCCAGATGTTTCCGTGGCCCTTCTTTCCGGGCGGTGAGTCACAAGGCTCTGCCTCCAGGGGCCGCAGGAGGAACAGAAGCAGCAGCGACAGCCGTCGCTCAAGACGCAGAGACAGGCGCCGAAGGGCGTCTAGGTCGCGCAGCCCAAGGGGGCGTCGAGAAAGGTCTCCAGAGACCCAGCCGAGGACCCCAATTGTTGGGAGCCCTAGCATGCCAGCTCCGCAGCCAGGATTTCACTGGTGCCAGGTGCCGACTGCGGTCTTCGGCATGGCGTCTGGCCCACAGACCCAGGCATCCCTTCCTGCTCAGAAGGGAGCTGAGGCAGCTTCTTCTTGGAAGGACTCCTCCCGGTGGCAAGAACAGTCCACCCCATGGAAGAGCCAGCAGTCTTCATGGGGCAAAGGTTGGGGGCATTCCAAGAACTACGGCTCCAGCAGCTCGTGGCAGGGCTCTGGAGGGAATCGGCGTGAGAAGTGGGACAAGCCCAAAGGCTGGAACAAGTGGCCCAAGCCTGAGCAAAAGCCGGCTAAGGAGCAGTATGGGCGAGGGGCTGCCCCCAAGGAGGAGGAGCCGGAGACTCTCCTCGACCCAGTTATGGCTGGGATTTTTGGCGCCCGGCAGCAGGGGCCGCCTGAGAGGCCCGACTCTGCATTCAACGTTGCGGAGGCGACGGAGGAGGAAGTTCAAGCGGCGGCCAATCGCAAGGCTGAGCGCGAAGAAGAAGGGTTCCACAGTCAGCTCTGGCAAGGGGCGATCGCTAAGGCCCTCGCAGACCCCTCGCGACCCAAGTGCGCCCGAGAACTGATGCGTGAGGGCATCTTGCGCAGCTGGTGGAACATGTCCTGGAAGGACGCCCGAGGCCTGATTGACGGGACCTTGGTGGACGAGTATCGCGATCGGTTGATGCTGTACATGGCAAAGCAAGAATCCCACCGAGGTGCCGCAGCCGATTGTCGAGCGCTGTGCATGCTTGTTCGCGTGGTTCAAGCAGAACTCCAGGCCGCTGGACATTGAAGGGGACTTCGATGCGATCATGTTCGCAGTGCCAGGGCAGAAAGTGCTGTGCTTTCGCACAAAGCTGACAGGGCCATCCTTCCTGGAGCCCGCAAACCACCGCTACACGATGACAATGTCCCACGGCTTGCCGTGGACAGCGGCCATGGGTGTGGGCGAGTATGGGGAGATAACCCCGGGAGACTTCACGGACGGCGACTTCCCGTCGTACGGATTCAGCGGCCGAGGGGTCTGCAATGACTCCGGCTTTGAAGGCATCAAAGCCTCAATCTCCAAGGTGGCTGCAAGAGCCAAAGGAAGGGACGTCATCTTCTCGATGGAAGGGCTCCTGCAGGAGAATACGCCCCAGGTGGAGGGGGGCATGCCGGCACTGAATGCTGCTTGCCGAGATGCAGGCAGCGCGCGGTCAGGGGACCACCTGCTTTTGAGTCCCACCTGTGCAGTTTTGAGGGCCGTATCCGTAGCCTGGCCAATCTGAGCCAAGAGCCGAAACACTGAGCCTCGATATAAGCTCGTCGGGAGCCATAAAAGAGTGTCCCGTTCTGACAGGGCGAGTGAACTTTCGCTTTGTCATCATGTTTGCAACAGGAATTTTGTCTCCCTCACGTGTTTCTTTTCATGCGGGTACCGAGAGTTTTGGGTCAGTTTTGGTTCAAGCCCCAGATGGCTGGTCACCTAAGAGCATCGGAGGTGCCTTCTGACAGCGAGTCGGAAGGCCAAGAAGTTAACCAGCATCGTGTTGCTCAGGTCCTGATTTCCGCAGGACCACCGAATGTGCAACTCCCCTGGGAACAAGGAATTTTCAGGGACATCTTCGCACCTAGACCAGTGGTGTCACTGGACTGGCCAGAGCCCAAGGTTCTTGTCAATGTGGATGAAGCCGAACTATCGTCTACACCAGGTCCCAGCGTTTTGCAAGACAAAGACAAGACGCCAATTGCAGGTGTCTTCAGCTCCTCACCGGGAGCCAATGTTTTCAGCAAAGTGATCAAGTGCAAAAAGAAAGATGAGCCTTTTGAGGAGGCTGTTGCAGGCATGTGGTTGAAGAACATGCAGATGTGGAAACAGCTGTTCGAGGCCTCCCCGTCCACCACTTTTGCCAAAACATTACAGGAATTGGACGAAGAGGAGAAGATGTTGTCCCTTCGTGACATGTTTGGATCGAAATCACCACACACAATCCAGAAGCGTGCATGAACCTTGTTGAGATTGTTTCGTTGGCTTCAAAAACAGGCCGATGTGCAAGGGACCTCTGTGGAGGAACCCCTTCTCCCATCAGAGCAAGCGGTGTACAAGTTCTGCAGAGAGATATCCCACAGGAAGAAGGGCAAGCTGGCACCTCAGAGCGTGGTACAAGCGTTGAAGTTTGTGAAATTTGTGCTTTCCATTCCAGATGTGGAGAATTCCATCTCCCCCAGGGTCCAAGGCTTGGCCGACCGAGTGGCAGGCGAGCACGAGCCCACACATCAAGCCCGGGACCTAACAGTGCTTGAAGTTAGGTTTCTGGAAGAGTGTGTTTGGAACGCTGAGCTCCACATTGTCGATCGATTTGCAGCAGGAGTATTCCTGTTTCAGATCTTCAGCAGGAACCGGTGGTCGGACATCAGGCACGTGCGATCCTTGGAGTTCGATTTTCTGGAGATTGGCCCCGAAATTTGTGGTTTTCTGGAAGGCAGGGCCAGAGAGGTGAAACAGTCCAACAAGAAGAAGAAACTCTCGTTGTTCATGCCCCTTGTGGCTCCAGTTCGGGGGGTCCACCCAACGGTGGTTTGGGCCAAAGAATGGCAGAAAGTGGCTGCCGAAGCAGGGATCGTGCTCTCGAAGACCCCTGTCGGCCCTTTACTACCGGCTACCGCCCCAGACGGTGCCTGGCTGCAGAGGTCCATCGACTCCGCCGAGGCCTCCAACTGGCTGACGGGACTGCTAAGGAACCGCGACCCCTCAACAGCGAGGGTTACCACACATTCCTTGAAACACACTGCTCTGGGCTGGTTGAGCAAATACGGCATTGTGGGAGAAACACAGACACTCTTGGCACATCACTCTACTGGAGCTTTGAGTGCATTAGCTTACTCAAGAGACGCCCTCAGTGGCCCCCTCCGGCAGCTGGAGGAAATGATAAAGCAGGTACGGGAGGGCTCGTTTTGCCCGGACGCTACTCGAAGTGGATACTTTGCCCGTGCCCAAGGATCAGAGGCAGGTGCGTCTGTTGACCTCGGGTCCTGGTTGCCGATTAGCAAGGCAGGCAGCTTAGATGGGATGCCCGCGAACTCCGAAAGCACGCATGAGCCTTTGCCAGCCACAGTGGAAGGCTTTGAGGACGATTTCCTGGGGGTTGGACCGCTTTGCTCCTCGCAAGGGAAGGTTTTTGAATCACCAAGTGCCATGCCTGTCTTGGAAGCATCTGCTCCGTCGGTAGCGGAAGGAGACGAATCCCCCTCGAAAGAAAGTGAGGAATTAGACAGGCTGGCTACCGTGACTTCCGGGCTTTGCGAGGCGTTGTTCGATAAGGACGACACACAAGGTGCAGATGATAACGAGGAGGCAGAGATCTCAGCAGACGGGTCCTCCGAGGAAACCTCTGATGGAGCCTCGTCGGAAGAAAAGGAGGAACCAGCTTCGACCCTGAGCCTACCGGAGGGTTGGAGTGCGATCCAGAACAAGAAGTCTACCATGTTACATCTGTACAAAGTAGGTCAGACGACGCTGAAATGTGGAAAGTGGATAAGCGTCAATTTTGTAGAAATGGAGAAGCCCTCAGCGAAGTGGCTACAGTGCAGCCGTTGTTTTCAGGAGTAAAGAGAGGGGTGACACTGTTGTTGGCCGGTTTGTGGGCTTGTGCAACACCATCCCTTTGTACCAGCTCTCTCTCTTGCAAGTTGCAGTTTTGGCCCCACGCCCTAAACATGGCAAACGCAGCGGATAGTCAGCCTTTCTTCGAGCAACATGCTCGCAAGATCGGAATGGAGCAGCCACTCTTGGACAAATTCATAGCTGGAGGGGTCAAGACGGTGTCCATGGCAGCCTATGCCGCCACTCAACCGGGTCAACCTCTCACAGATAGGGAGGTCTCCACTCTATGTACGAGTCTGGGGCAGAACAACCCCACTCTTGCACAGATGACGGTTGTCAAGAGGCTCCTGTTCGAGTGCCAGACCATGAGCTTGGCAAACTTGAAGGCAACCGTGGAACAGCAGCCGGACTCAGTCCTACGTAAGCTGCCAGGAGCTGAGAGAGCCCAGCGCCTGGAATTGCAGGCTCAAAGGCTGGGCGGACTCTCGATTGAGCATGACTTGGAGCCCGCCTTTTCAGTATATGATGCCGTGTCGACACAGGTAGAGCAAGGGTCGCTGAAATACCTGCACCCGAGCAAGATCCCCACGCGTCGCCAGGAATTGGCGCAAGGCAAGCCAACCAAGGAACTTGTGCTGGATGCTTCGGGGGATGGCCTCTCGGTTCAAGACAAATCCTCTAAGGTAGAGGCCCAGTTGGGGTCAGACATGGCGACTTACAGGGCGTTGCAGAGACGGGGTCTGGCCTACGACCTCGTTGGCATTTTGAGTTTCAAGGTGCACGAGAAATGGCTTCAGAAGGCCTTTGCTACCTTGCAGACCCCACCGCCCCCAGGCTTCAACCGTCCGACGTTGCAGCAGGTCCTGCGAGCAGATCGGGCCTTGTGGATGGAGCTTGGCAGCAAACAGCCTACCCTGACAAGGGCAGCGGCGAACGCGCCGCTCGCGGACGCCCGGTGCTTAGATCAAGTCTTTCTGGAAGCCACCAACACGGTTGCAGTCAATTTTCACTTCATGCCGACACCTCGTGCGGAAGGGTTCCCAGATAGAGGAGGCAAAGGCGCTGGCAAGGGCCCCAAGCGCTGGGGCGACGGAAAAGGGTATGGACAATGGAAATATCAGAGGACCGACAAAGGAGACAAGGGCCAGGGAGGCAAATCAGGCTTCAAGGGGGCCCGCCTCCCCACAAAGGGCAAATTCGACAGCGGCAAGGGAGGCTTTCCGAACAAGTCCCTTGTTTTGCAAGGAGGCAAGGGGGAGACCCCCATGCCGGCCGCCTTGCGAGGCGGAGTGCCGAACGACGAGCAAGGAGAGCCTCTTTGTTTTGGCTTCAACCTAGGACAGTGCAAGGACGCCCCATTGGGGGGCAGATGTGCACGTGGCAGACATGTGTGTTGTCACCCAGGTTGCTTCCGGAAGCATCCCTTCTCTGAGCACAAGCATTCAGGCCAGGCAGCCTGAAAGAACGCCCCGCTGCAAGGGACGTTGAATGACAGCGCTTCTGCGCTGGACCGGGCGTCCCGAGCTGCTCTGACCGCGCGTCGCGCACAAGCGTGCGCGGGAAGAGCAGAAACAGCCATGGGGGAGGGTGGAGACAGTTCGGCCCAATTTGTGAACAGAACAATTTTCCCGCTTCTGAGGCGGACAGGCCCGAAGAGAGCTGCAAGGACTCGTACCCTGCTGCTATTGCGAAAGGGCAAGAGAAGCAGCCCCCGCTCAAGCGGGTGGCTAAGCCAACCCCACAATTTTCCAAGCCTCCAGCTGAGGCTTCTGCATTTTCACCTCAGGCGAGTCACCACGGCGCGCAGAGGTCTGGACAAGCGCAATGTACTGCGCCCCAGACCATACAGGAGTGTTGGGTTTTGGAAATTTTCGCGGGGTCGGCCGGGATTACCTCGGCAGCTGCTTCAGCCGGCCTCAAGCGGTCAGTCGGAGTAGACAATGTCCGCATGCCGAGGCGCAAGGGCAAGATCATACAGCTGGACTTGCTCCTGCTGTCGCACCAAGGTCTGCTGTGGAAATGGCTGGGTTCCCCAGGACTGGTCGCCGTATGGCTGGCGCCGCCCTGCGGCACATCCAGCAGGGCCAAGGAACTCCCGCTTCCGGGGGAGGACGAGCCGCGCCCTTTGCGGTCAGTGGAGTGCCCGGAAGGGCTCCCAGGCCTTGGCCCAAGTGATTCAGAAAGGGTGGCAAAGGCTAACGAGCTTTACCGGCTCACGGCCCGAATCTGGGACTTCTGCTGCGAAAATGACATTGTGGTAATCATAGAGAACCCCTATCGCAGCTTCTTCTGGCATTGCAGCGCCATTGAACACATCCTCAGGAGTGAACAGGCGATCGTGGTCCAGTGCGACTTTTGCATGATGGGAGGTTCGAGATTGAAGCGGACGGCCCTGCTGTGCAACAGCGACCTCATCACAGGCCTGGCTGTCACGTGTGATGGATCCCACGAGCACCTGCCCTGGAAAGTGCAAGAGGGAGTTCTCGCAACGAAGCTTGAGACTGCGTATCCACACCAGTTTTGTAAGCACTTTGTCTCCCTGCTGCTGCAGCATCTGACACAGAAGGGTTGTCGGGATGGTCTGAATCTCTTGGAGGCAGATCCCGCAAACTCCTCAGGAGCCAGGGTGGTAACGACACAGGCGAAGACAAAAAGGGCTGCATCGTTTCAGGTTATCCCCGAATTTCGCAGACGAATCAGATGGACAGTGCCCGGCCAACTCCGTAGTACTCTCCAGACTACACAGTGGTTGGCACCGGACAGGATCCCGGGCTTCAAGGCGCCAGGAGCCCCGGCGCTGAGAGTGACGCCCCTACTGTCTTCTGCGACGGATGTGCTGGTGGAGGTCCCGTGGAACCCACAGGAATTTGTGGCGAAAGCCCGACTGGCCGGCCACCCCCGACACCTGTGTCTCGGGGTGCCACCCGCCCTGCGGAAGGCGATTTTGGCGTGTTCTAAACAGCCTGCAACCAAGGTGATTGAGACTCGAGCTGCGCAGTCACGGAGATGGCTCCAGCGAGCCCGGGAGCTGCAGTTAGCTGAAGACGACTTCAAAGCCAAGCTGCCCGAGCACATCCGCAGCAGCCTCCGTAACAAGAGAATACTGCTCTTCAAAGAGATGCTAGAAGCGTCCCACTACGCCGACAAGGCAGTGGCAGACGACCTGGCACAGGGTTTTGATCTTGTGGGGCATTTGGACCTTCCGGCAGGATGGTCCGCCGACTTTCGTCCAGCATTCCTCTCCCTGAAGGACCTTTCCCAACTAACGCAGGAGACCAACCACCAGGTCATCAAGGAAGTTGAGGACTCATCTCAGTTCCTGGAAGAACTGTGGCAGAAAAGTCTCGATGAAGTATCAAAAGGCTGGTCGGAAGGACCTTTTCGAGAGCAGGACTTGCCACAAGGAGCTGTAGTCAGCAAACGTTTTGCAATCCAACAAGGGAACAAGGTCAGGCCGATTGACGACCTGTCCCAGAGCCACATCAACGAGGCATTCGGGAGCATGGGGAAGATCGAGTTGCATGACATCGAGACAATTGCAGCGTCGGCCATCTTGTTCCTGAGGCACGCAGGACAAGGACTGCTTGGTAAAACCATTGACCTGAAATCAGCATATAGGCAACTACCACTGTCCGAAAAGGCACTCAACATGGCCTACGTGGCTGTCAAGGACCCCAATTCGGGGGAGGTTCGCTTCTTTAGGCTTCTCTGCCTTCCATTCGGCGCTGTGGCGGCGGTCCATGCATTCATCAGGGTCAGCCTGGCTATTTGTCATATAGGAAACACGTTTTGGCACTTGCCTTGGAGCTCTTTTTACGATGACTTCACACTGTTGTCAACACAACAGCTGGCCACTAGCGCAGAGGCCAGTGCATGTTTGCTGCTAGACTTGCTCGGCTTTGAGTTTGACAGAGACGGAGACAAGGCCCAGCCGTTCCAGGAGGTCTTCAGATCTTTGGGGGTCGAGTTTGACCTTACAGACAGCAGCAAGCAGATATTTAGGATCCAGAATACAGCAGAGCGGACCAAAAGTCTCATCGAAGACCTGGCAGCCTTTCAGGAGCAAGGAGCCTCAAACCCTAAGACCTGGAACCGACTGAGGGGAAGGCTGCACTTCGTGGCGGGCCAACTCTCTGGGCGCTTGCCGAAGGGATTCATGAGAAGAATCTCTGACATCATCAATGCCCCCGCATATGTCAGGAGACAAAACCAAGCCTCCCTTTGCGCAGCACTGCAGGGGCTACGACACTACATAGCCGAGGCGTCGCCGAGGATAGTGCGAGCCCAGACCTCAGAGACGGTGTACGCCTTTACGGACGCCTCGCAAGAAGGACTCCAAGGCCTCGAAATGGGCCTGGGAGCAGTCCTGTTCAATCAGGAGGGGCACATCCTGTGTTGGTTTGGCATTGTGTTGCCGCATGACCTCGCTGAGAAACTTCTGCAAGGAAAGTCTAAAGTCATCAACGAGCTCGAGAGCATAGCCGTTCTCCTGCTATTCATTCTAGCCCGAGAGTTTCTGCGGGGGAAACATGTGATGTGCTACTTAGACAATGAGGCGGCGCGCATAACGCTCCTCAAGCTGACCAGCGACTCAGAGGCTTTGACCCTCTTGAGCAATGCTTGCGCATTGTTGGAACAGGAGCTTGAGATGATTCCGTTCTACGCTCGGGTACCGAGCAAATCCAACGTGGCGGACGCTCCGTCTCGCCTTGACTTTACAGGGCTGCCACGCAATTGCAGGTTCCAAGACCAGGTGCTTCTTGCGGAAATGGCCAAGCTGGTGAACTCGCTCGTCGGGCGCGGGGCCTGAAACCCCATGACCAAGGAAGGGACTTGCATTCTCCCCGACCAAGAGAGGGAGCTTTCGTTTCTCACACACCTGCAGAGGACAGATCTCGGATGGAAGCAGACATAGCAAATCCCCTTCCTTGGAAAAGATGCCAGTGCAGAAGCTTCAGTCGTGTTAGCGTGAGGGTGCATGTCATTGCAGTCGGTGCATGTGAATAGCATTGCCGTGCATGGAACACCAGTGGATGAGCATAACATCGACGGATCGCGTACTTTCAGCCAGGCGATGTTTTCATACATGTGAAACATTTTTGTTTGGAAAATAAGGTAATCGTGCTGTAAGTACAAACCTTTATTTTCCGGAGAAAAATTTTCGAATTCTACGAATGAGAAAGTTTTTCGGCTCAGACGAAGAGAGGCCACAGCCCTCTCAGCCACAACCCTCGTGGAGAGGGTCCGGGAAAATTTTTCTGCCCACCCATTGCAGTCGGTGCATGTGAATAGCATTGCCGTGCATGGAACACCAGTGGATGAGCATCGGATCGCGTACTTTCAGCCAGGCGATGTTTTCATACATGTGAAACATTTTTGTTTGGAAAATAAGACAGTTAAACCTTGTTTGAGCCAGCCAACCGCATTAAGTTCATCGCATGGAAAAGGCGCATGAAACTTATGCGAAAACTTGTCTTGAAGCTTAACAGCTGTAGTAGCAGCAAGAACTTGTTGGCCATAGCTAAGCCAGTATTGGAGAAACTGTGAGAGGGGAAGCGGTTTCCAATGACTGTCGGGGTTCTCATTCAGTAACTCTCGAAGGGATGTGTATTTGATCGCAGCTTTGAGAGCACCAGGGTAGAAGCAATTCCCAACAATGGAAGCAATACACATATCATTAATGTGTTCTTCCACATCAGCAAGCCAGATATCGAGCTCAGCATCTCTCAACATTTCCTTGTAGTGAGCAACCCTGAAAGGAGGAATGCCACTATCACCTATAAGGAAGGCATTTTCTGCACGGAGAAGTTCGTAGTTAGCTTCCGCAAAGCGATCCATTGCTGCAAGGCTTGGGATGTCCGCTTGAAGAGAAAGCTTCTGAACATCTGTGACAAAGCGCAGGCCAATGGGTCCATCAGGAACAAATTTTTCCCATTGTAGATTTGGAACCCCATTGGAGGTATTAGCCGCTTGTGAGAATTGCCTCTGGAAAGCTTCAGCTCCGCCGAAGCTGGGTACATGGTAAAGAAGGGCAGAGGGGTGGTAAAAGTATGCAGCCAATCGAAGCCCCCTCTCGCGATCAAAGCGTTTGGGACGGAGCCAAGGCTTTAGCTTTTCGCCGGGGGGTTTTATTCCGCACATGTGTTCCGCAACAGGACGCCATCCTTGGAACCACGGCGTGGGGCGGTTGCTGAGGGTGCCAATTTGCCCATATCTAGTGAAGAATTTCCTTTTCCTTTCAACATGGCCGAATGTAGCTCCAGCAATGTGATGGCAGCAACAATCACGTATTCCGAAGATCTGCTGAATGCAGTCCTGGTGTATGGGCTTCATAGACCCAGCATTTTCAAGGAAGATGTGCACGCACTGAAGGATACTGGGTTCAATGCTCTGGAATGCAAGCAAAATTGCGTATAAGACAAGCGTGTGTTGCGAGCGGTCTCCCAGAAGTCCTAATCCACCTGAACTGGACCCTGCAACAGTGAGATCTTGGCAGGGGGAACCGGCGGGAATGATGATGGCTGTTTTTTGTGGATGAATCCTTCCCAGGAAAGACAAACATTCACGCAGCAATCGGTAATCCTCTTTAAGCAGGGTCCAAACGTCATCGATTGCGATCGATGGCGCACGGTGCGAGTCAAGAGCCCACCTTTGGCTTTTGTCATAGTCATACTTGTGGCATATGAGGGCGCGGAGGACGCTGTCACTTTCTGCACTCACAGCCGCAACTGGTTGTTGCTTGAGGCATTCAACGGTGACAGCACGTGATATTCCGCATCCATCAAAAAGCGATAAGATGATGTAACGTTCAACACCAAGTGCGACCTGTATGCAGTCTTCCGACGAGACAGCATTACTTTGATTATTCCTGCTTCCAATTTTACCGTCTTTTCTGCGGTCTGCCGACGCTGGGGCTGCATCATAGGTGCTTGGGCATTACGTAGGCGCCATGTAACCTCCGCGTCAGCCTTTCCCAGTTCCAGCGCGCAGTAAGTATCACGCAAGTAAATTGCACCCACCTCTTTTAGGCTTCATGTAACGGAGCGGAGGAACCTTGGAGTTGCGCAAATGCAAAAATAATGCCATGCTCTTCCCCTTCCCAAGCCACATTAGGATCCAGGCCACTGGGCAAGTCAAGGATGTTTGAATTCTTCCTCTTTTGTTCTTTTAATTTATGGAGGTGTAGACATAACTTTACTTCCTGCAAAGAAGGCATGCCTGCCACGTTTGTTTGACGAGCAATGAGCCCTCACCGACGCAGATTCCTGCTCTTAGCAGTGCAAGTGGCTCTTATCTCGAGGTGGCTCCCAAGCTAGAGCACAGCAAAAAACAAAGATGTTCTTAAAGTTGTAGCATTGAGTGATTGACGGCCCAGTTTTTTGTTCCGGTTGGCTTAACAGCAAGTGAGCACTGGCAACCAGAGCCACGACAACCACCACAACAAGAACCACAACTCTTACAAAAAAACCCAAAAACAAAAACTTAGACAAAAAAATAAAACAGAAAATGCTAAAACCTGCGTTTTGGAAAATGTAAAAGCACATGTCAAAAAAAAACACTGTGGTGCTCAATGCATGGAAAGCACCGACGACACCATATATCCCGAATACCGTCAAGGCGAGCTCTTGACCTTACAGCGGCTGATTCAGGACACTGCAGCTGCACTTTCGTGAATTCCATTTTAAATTTGTTTGCCCTAGAGAGTCGAGCGGTTGCCACCAGTGGGTGACAGGTTTCCACGAGTGGGCAATGCCATTATTAATTTTTTATTCTTGTCATTCTGATAAGAATAATCTGAGAAGAATCATTATGATTATAATTGGTCTTGCCATTGTTATTTTTGTTATTATTAGCGCCGGGTATGTTGCACCAGTATTGCTTCGGAAGCAACTACAATGAAGAGAGCTCAAGCACCTCCTTCACTTTGTTCACGATGCCAATCTTGTTGCGTCCTGCATTCCATGTCGTCCTTATGTAATGTTTACACGCTCTCTTCATTCTTTTGTTGTCACAAGTTGGCAACCGAAAAAAAGTGTGGTTGTAAGTTAGTAGCAGTGATAGTAATTGTAGCAGTTGTTGCACTGCAGCTAAGACGTCGAGTTCAGTTTTGGATTTTTGCAAATGATACCCAAAAATCAAGTTCTGGTTCGCGATACAGGCCGCAAGGCACTGTAAAGTGGAAGGAGTTTTTTGAACCAAGCATGGTCTTGGCTAAACCGTGGAAATCTCTTAGCTCACGCGCGCCACCAGCAAGACGCTGGCCGATTATGCTCAATCACTTCGCCGCGGCATTTGGAAAGGCGAACACGTTCTGCACATGGTTCTTTTTTATTATTGGAGTTAAAGGTATCATTTTTGGCTTTAAGACTTGGCGAAGGTTCCATTTAAGATAAAAGGGGTGGACTGTCAAGTTTTTTACAAATTTGGCAAAATCACATGCCCTTCCACATTGGTGGTTGGCAGATTGCCACGTTGCAAAGACTTGCAGCTCAAACAGTCCTTGTGGCATGTATGTACGGGGGAGGTTTAACGGAGGGGGCTTAGGGGGGCTCAAGTGTGTGAAAAGTTTGTTGTATTGTGTGTGAAGTGTGTCTTGTACCATAAATCAGTTGATTTTGAAGTTCAAAGCTGGGGCGAAAGATTCGAGGTAACAGGAGCATGCTTTGTGCTTCGAAGTTTTAGTCTGGATGGCTGGACGAGTTTCTTTTGCTGGCAGTAACTGTCGAATTCATGGTGACTCTTGGCACACACAATAGTGCTACTTTGATGACAGTTGAGAAACATCGCTGTTTCACACAGCGTTTCAATCGCGCTCGTCTGCTTTTTTGCTTGTTGCTTCCCATCTTGCGTTTGTTTTTATTCGTGTTTTGCGCGCCAGTCTCACTTCTTTTGCTTCATTCTCAGGACGTGCCCACTGGGCTGACGCTATAAAGGGGCTAGTGCAAAATAAGTGAAATGACCTAAGCCGCAACCACCTCACAGATTTGTGCAAAGAGGCTAGATAAATGCTTTTCGGCAGGCAAAGCAAAAAACGCATGTCAGCAAAATATTGTCAGGTGTGCATGGCGTTATGTCACACAATCTAATTCATACTCAGCAAGTAGTGGTGTTGGCAGGGTCTTGAAGCTTCATTACCTTGAGGTTTGGCTGCCACAGTAGTGATTTATCAATTGGGGTGGTCCCTGTCCTGGGCGCACAGCTGAAATTGAAGGCTTCGGTCCTTTAGGCATGCTTTCTGCCCAGTTGCTTGTCATGTTCGAGAGTGTGGCTGTTCGACCCCATTGAAATCATGTCCGCCATGCACGTAATTTTCATGGCCTTCTTGTTTTCTGACTTGAGCAATCCAACACGCAACTTCACGTATAATTTGCCGTTATGGAACTCGCACAAAAATGCCGAAAACACATACAACGGTCAAAAAGAGGCAACTGCATGTGGTTGGATGGACAATTATGAATACGTTGAGATTCAACTTGTTCATGTTGTCAATCTGCATATTGGAGTGGCTCCGAGCAGTTTCGGTTTAAGTGGTTTTGCTGCAACAGTACGTGGTAAACACAAAGCAGCACAAGATTGTTTCCACCAAGGGGGGGGAAGGCGTGGCGAAGGCGGGGGTTTGACGGCCTCGATAGGGACCACTTGTCCCGGGGATATTTTCAACCAGCATCCTGTCGAGTGTAAGATTCGGCCCGAAAGCTTCTTGTTGGCTGGCATGCGGCTTCCGGCTCAGCTTTGACATGATCCGACGGCGGGCCTCTTGGAAGCGAGTGAGCTTCATTGTCCTGATTGATGAAGAGCAAACTTTGCTAG